TGCCTGAGAGGATATTCAACTTTTCGCAAACTGGGATCACGGTCGAACAGACAATAAGGAATTTTAATAAGCAGGCCACACAAAAAAAATACGAAGGGGGAAAAAAAAGGTCTGCAGTTGTTCCCACAAGCAAGAAAAGAGTTTAATCATGAACATTTTCCAATAAATATTAACTAACTTCGGGTGATGAATTGCCTTTTTGTGCAACGGCAGAGAACGTGCATTCATTAAATAACGTCAATGCAATCTGTTGGTATAAAAAAAGCAACACAACTCAACTTATGTTGCCAGAAGATGTTTGAGGTTATGCAAGAAAGCAGTTCAGACAGATGGGCAAAAAATACAATCATTCAAACGAGAGCCAAGAGGTAGGCTTTGACAAGCCAAGAAGTATCATGGCTAAAGAACATCACAGCACAAAGCTGAACATTGGAAAAGCAAAATCTCAATATCGTGACATTAAGGACTGAATGCCATATTGATGGACAGAGCAGCAGAAATAAAATAAAACAGATAAATGAAAGGCATTAAGATGTACTATATGTGGTTATTATCATTCCACGGCTATGGAGTTTGAATATGGCTGTTAAGATTTTGAATTATGTTTCTATCTTACACCATGTCGAGTCCACTAAACGTAACGGAACAAAAAGCTGACAGTACTCCACTATTAATAAATCATCTGTTAGATTCGTCTTTTAGACATACTTTTAATAATAGGTCACTGATTTGATGGTTACAATTACAGCTACACATGAATTGTCACAACATCTGGCACCTAACAATAGCAAACACCACTATAACTGATTGTTTCTTCCAAGAAGTTCTGGTTAGTGGTACAAAAACAATGGTTATGCTTACAAAAAAAAAAGTATATTTATCTTTCGGAGTGCTTCGGGTCTTCTGCTAAAGTGGCATTCTGTAATTGTTCCCTTTTCTTCTCTCCCAAGTTTCAATCGATCTCAAAATCTGTCCGTTTATCATAATCCATTCAGATGAATTCAATTCCAAGTTTGGGTTGGTCACATAGTTCAGAATCTCTTTTAGTCTATTTTCAGTCAAATAAAATGTCGTATTCAAAGTGCTCAGTCCACACACTATTACGTCATCACGTTCACCACTTGCTTAAAGCATATAAATAAAAACATGATCAAATGTTCTTACATGACCAAGCAATTATATTTATATGTTAATGTTGCTATTTATTGTTATATTGCAGGTTAATGCTATGCATCAAATAAGACCACTGAGAGGGTTTCATAAAAAGTCACTAAAACTATTGAACGGACTGATCACATGATGAATGGAAAGCTGATAGTCTTCCGGTGCAAAGATAAGGAAAAAAGGAATTGCACATGAATTATACGAAACCAACCATCACAGAGCACTGGAAGTGCTCCGATTAAAAAAAGTGCATTACATATGTCAGATTCTTTAAAAAGGCTAGACATTAAATAAATTGAACACCAACGGCGTAATACTATAAACATTAGCAGTTCATTTTTATCATCATAATGGTGCAACGGTTGCTCAGTCTAAAAATGAAAGGCAGCAAGCAGTAATCCAGAGCACTCAGATCTAATAATCTAATAACATCTACAGCAGAACAGTTGAAAAGGCAACATGATATATATAATGCTTTAGCACAAACATGCCATCATCATAGACATCTCTTTTTATAGAAATAAATAGTTGAAATAAATTGTACTCTGCTTTTAAATTATTTCCATCTCTATAGGACTCTGATACACATTCAATATAAAGCATCTATCATACACAGCATACTGCAAATCTCTGAATCGTTGAACTCTGAAAGTCATCTGGTCAGTACAGCCACCACACGGGAAACCATTTGTGGGCGGATATCCGTTAAACGCTGCAGGTTATCTCTTTCTTTAGTTTACATTTGAAATATTTACACTGTTTGTAATTCCTTCCTATAGAAACAACATATACATACAGTTTATATATAGGGTTTGTTACGTATTATCTTTACAGACTCCTCTATTTGGTTGCGTCATGTCAAAGCTAACAGATGCTGCCGTCTTGGTGTGGTAGACTGTTGTTTAGAGTTCAAACTGAAGCGGAAGTGTTTGATTCTTCCTCGTTTATTTGAGGAGAGAATGACTCGATCAGGTTGAAATATTCGGTGAACCTGTATGTGGCTCTGGCCTCAACACAGCAGAGTTAGCACAAGCCATCAGCCTTCACATGGAGGATTTTGGAGAAACCAGGTCTTTTTTTGAGTGCCTGAGAGGAGAAGACAGAAAGGATATGAACGAACCGGTGTTATATTTTTGGAAATACAGTATGTATATTGTATGTACAGTGTTATGTTGAGTACATGTTGTTCAAAGGTGAACAAAATTCCTTTTTTGAGCAAGTACAATAGTCAGGTCAGGTCTGATTTGGTAGGCCATTTCAGGTTTACATCATTTCTTTGCTCTGGTGAAGCACAACTAACATTAAAAAAACAACACAAGTGTTGTTATTGTTACTGAATTAAAATAATGCTGAAATAAATATAAACATTAAATGCTAAACTTTTTTTATTGGTTAGTTGAACTTTTTTACTGGTTAGTTGATTAGATTTCTAATTTTCATTTAAGTGTTTTTTTTTTAAGTACTAAAATTTCTAAAACTAAAACTGAAATAAAAATTTATATTTTTAAAAACTAATAAAAATGACAAATCCACATAAAATCACTATCTCAATCTCAGTTTTTTTAATTACTAACATTTAAAGTAAAACTAAAATGAATATAGAAAATATAAAAATAAAGACCGATTTAAAATATTAACAAAATAATATAAAGGTATGTAAATAATACTAAAATAACATTGAACAGTGCCAAAGTAAATTGCGATTTTATTTTTCAACCATAGTTGGCAATAGAGAGACCGACGTTCCATAGTGTACCTTAAAATTCTAATTCAAATCACAATTCTGTTCCAGGAACTGAACTAGAATTTAAAAGACATTCAAATTTCTGGTGACAAAAATGCCTGGAAAATGTATCTATTTTTTTATTCTATTAACTATTGTAATTGACTTTTATGTTACTTTTTGTTTTTTTTATTTATTTGTAAGTATCTTTGGATTAAAAAAAAACTTTGAAAAAAGGGAAAAATGTCTGGCAATAAGGCATTATAGTTACATAATTTGAGACTTTGGGCCTCATTTATAAAATACTGCGTAGAAAGAATCCTAAATTTGATTTTACGATCATTTCTCAAAGTGCGTACGTGTGATTCATAGAACGAACGTACGCACAGAAAACGTGCGTACGCCTCTCTTTTAGATGTGAAATCTATAAATTGCAATGATCTTGAAATTGTGCGCAGCTGAACAGTTCAGATCTCCGCCCTGTAAACAATGTCTAATTAATGTCCTTGACTTATAAAAGAGCACCTGACAATGTCCAAATCTTTTACAAGCGGCAAGAATGGCTTATATTTCCAAAAACCTGCAGCACTCGGGCAAACAAAAGTGCGTACGTCTGCTCAGACCCTGACGTGGCGCTAAGCTCTTTTCCACGTCAAAGACGTGTAAATATGAACGTTGCCGTGGATGTTTGCGTACGCACACTCTACGATCAAATCTGTGCGTACTCACGTTTTATAAATGAGGCCCTTTATCTCTGGATAATCATAATCTCCGCTTGTGTTTTGACGGTTCAACTGATCCTGTGATGTGATTAAAGGGTATTTTCATTTGGCTTTTTACAAAATGAAAGAACTTTCATTCGCAGGACCACATAGAGGAGCCAAATCACCGAGATGATATAGATCTGGACACTATAAATTTGCTTCCATGTTGATGGTGGAAATAAACCGTGGGCAGTTTCTGAACAAGTACAAAATATTTCTGAGCCTCTTATGAAAATGATATATGATGAGCAATGCACTCTGTCATCTACAGCAGCCCATTTCAGCACAGCTTGTGTAAGACATCCTGCAAGTCACTTTAGCTTGAGTTTTCACGTGGGTGGGTGTAAACCCCACTTCCACTTCCTCTCCCAGCTTATCTAGAGTCAGAACAGAGAAGAGGCAGCTTCCTGCGTCCTCAAAGAAAGCAAATGGATGAGATGAATCACTTGCATTTGACTCATGGTTCCTCAAAACGGCAGCTGTGAGAGGTTCTTCTGCTTTCACTTACTCATCTTTAACGCTGTCTCAGACACAGGAAACCTCATGGCCTAAGACTAAATTACTACAGAACAGCTTTTGCTGGTAATTTTAGTCTGGCAGTGGATAAACGGATATGGATGGGTCAAATTTTATGACGGTCTCAGATGTCTCAAAAACCTATCTATAGCAATGATTCTATACCTGCAGCTTGTTCACCATTTCGTCAAAGAGTTTTCTGGCCTCGGGACTGTTAGGGTCTTCAAAGTAATCTTCTATACCGATCTGGACTACTATAGACTTCAGGTTACGACACACACCTGTGAAAAGAGTGGAGCTGGGAATGAGTAAGAGAGTGAGGGCAGAGAGTCATTTTACAGGAAGTGCGGGCGTATTTCATGTCATTCATAGCTCTAAATCTAAAGATATAACCAAATCCAATGTTTAATCTGAACATTTTCCAACAACTAATTTAATGATCTTTTTGAAATGAACTGCAAATACAGGAGAATATTCCTTAGTCTCTTGCAATTAATTAAATGCTAATTATTAAAAAACGTAATAATTAATAAAAAAATGATTATAAATTAACTATAAAAATATATAAATTATAATTATAAAAAATAATTATATTATATTATAAATTGGTTTAGACATTAATGGCTGTGTGTTGATTTATTTTGAGGGGACAGTAAATTTACTTCACTACTCTACTCACTACTTTACATTGTAGCAAAGTGTAATTTCTTCAGTGTTGTCACATGAAAAGATATAATAAAATATTTACAAAAATGTGAGGGGTGTACTCACTTCTGTGAGATACTGTATATATACAAGCATATCAAGAAATAATGGCAAACACTAGTTTACTCTCACTCACCCAAAGAAGCCAATCCCTGTATGCCACAGCCAGCTCCGCCAACACCCAGCGCTCGCAGGTGTGGCCAGCATCTGCCAATGGTCTGCAGGCACCTGTTACTGAAGCGTGCTGGCTGCTGACTGCAGAAAGACAATTCACATTTTCAATTATTTACATTAAACTTTAAAAAAAATAAAAATTCTAATATCAAAGACAAATGCTCAAAAAAGACAGTAGATGTTGCATTTTAAACTGACATAATATTTAAGCTATCAAACCATGTTTAAGAACCACCTTAACAAAAATCTACAATTGTCTTTGAAACAAATAAGTGTATTTCACTCTTACCATGGATGTAAAGGTGCCACCTGTAGTGAGATGATGTCTCTGCAACCAGCTCCCAGTGCCCAGATAACTTCCTGTCCAACAGGGTCTGTCGCGCTCCTAAGACATAATCAAAATCAACATCTGAGAAACTCTCTCTCTGCCTTTGCAAACCTTGTTATGACCTGTCAATGGGAACTAAGCAATCATACACATTAATCAACGTGTTTATTTCTACTCTGACCTGTACTGGCCTTGGACATAATTACAAAAAGTTTTCCTGCTAATATATGTATAATTTTTTTTAATGTATGAAAAATGTATGAGTCTACAGTCTACAGAATCTATGCTTGATTCCAAAATTATGTTTGCATCCTTTAAAGTATAGATTCAATTTATTACATGATAGCTTACTGAATAAATATATATGAAAAATCAATTAAGAGTTGTTACTATTTTCATTAAAGCAATTTAGCAAATTGGTTTCCCAGCACAGTGGTCATTAATAGTCATTATATTTAAATGCTTTTGTATTCATTCACAAAAGCACTGGAATATAGTTTTCCCTCCCACCTCAAAGGTTTTGTGAGTGAACGCAAAGTTGCTCGGGAAAACGCAAACGTTTTGCAAGTGAAACAAAAGCATTGAAATATAAGTTTTTCTCCCATCTCTCTCTCTCTCTTTTTTACCATCAGCACATCCCTTTAGAGGCTCTGTAAAAAAAAAGTGTATATCTTATAAGAGAAAACTCAGTGTTATGACCATATGCCATTATTATATTATTAAATGCTAAATTATATCTAACAGCCAGTCAGTCATTAAAAAAAAATATGTTTTCAACCTTTAAGCATACATATCCAATTTATTACATGATTGCTTAGTGAATAAATAATTAAATAGACATGAAAAATGTATTAGAATTGATATTATTTTCATTAAAGCTAAGCAGTAAATTGATTTCCTGGGGACAGTGCTCATTAATACAGTTTAGGAGTCATAATACAAAAAGAATATCTGCCTGTACAAGGACGCAATTGACCGATCAGAGTCAAGTATACCACAAAGTTGTGTAATAAAAGAATATATGGACAAAAAAAAAGGACTAAATAGTGCTCCCTTGTGGACCAACCTGTATGTGACAGCCTGTAGTGCCCTGCAATAACAGCTGGCCAACCACAGAGAGCGATCGGTCAATAGATTCGGACAATGAGACACCTTCAGAATGAGCAGATTACTGCCAGTAGCTTTCAACAAAGCCTCCAGACCCTCCTCAAGACAGCCACTAAACACAAAAGAAAGAGAATCTATTAACACAATCTATTAACATTTCAGTTTATACAAAATATGTGGGGACTATGGCGACCAGATGTCCTAATAAAGTTATGACCCATACGCCAATGTAATATACAGTATGTACAAACATGTTTTTGCTTCATATGAAAATATATTTCATATATGAAAATGTAATATATGACACCTATTAGAAATTGGAACAATTTCATATATTAACATCAATATCTAACCAAATGTTTATGTATGTGTAATACATTTTTGAACAAATGTCATGTACATGTATATCCATCCTTAAACCTGTCAATACATGTTGATAAATGTAAAAGACAGACATACATTTAATTTGTGTGTGTGTATATATATATAAGTACATAAAATTGCATACATAAATAAAATATATTTTGTTGACATTTGTGGTTGCTACATATAATACCACATAAAAATCATCTACTCAGAGAATGATTTTGTATGGGGACAGTCCTGAATTTATTAGCCTGCAATGCCATTTGCTTCAATAATGAATCTTTAGTTTGATTGCTTTTTGATTTTTTTTGTCTCGTACAGGATATTTTAAAATTAAAAAAATACTTTCAGCTTTAAATCCACCAAAAATACGACGTCTACGTCAAAGTCTTTCATGAGGTTTTCAACTGGCACTCTGGTTGAGGTGATTTAGCAGAGCAATTAACAAGCTGCTCATTCTGTTCCCTTCTCACACTGGATTTCTGAACAAGCACTTCACAAGTGTCAAGACTGTGTGAGCGAGTGAGTGTGTATCTGTTTGGTGTGAAAGAGTGATGAGAGGATCAGGGAAGAGTGCAGAAGGTAATAAAACAACGGCGATAAGAGGAGGAGGTGCGTGGAGCTGTGGGAAGGCAGTAGCCACACAAACAGCAGGGTCAGTATGGTACAGTAAACAGCAGGCGCAGTGGGAGACCGCGTTACCGTGTGCTCTTCAGATACTCCTCCTTTGTCTCTTTTTTGCCCCTCTGTCGGGGTTTGAGGTTCTGGAGGATGAGGGAATGCGTCTGTGTGCACCACTGAGACAGAGTGCACAGGAACTAAACAAACATAGCGAGAGACAGAGTTAGAGAGCTTGGCCTTTTTTCAGGACTATTAGCAGTTACGAAATACGTGGGCAGCAGATAATTAATGCTACACTGTTTCACATCTCATTCAGAAATCGCATCATATGACCCCTTTAATATATTTCATATTTATTAACTTATGTTATTTTAGTTTTCTTATGTGCCTTTTTTATATTTCTATTTGGCATTTCAGTTTTAATTGTAGTCTCTGTAATTCTAAACGATATATGTGTAAAATATATTTTAACATTTTAATTTTCATCAAAACATTTGATTTTTTTTTGGGGGGGGGGGTTATAATTTCAATTATATTGGGGGGAAATATAATTTCATTATATTAATTTGTCTATTAACTATTAATCATTACATATTTCCCCCGTGCCCCTAATATCTCTTTCTATCCTATCTACAATTTCAAAAATAAAAAAATAAAAATAAAAAAAGACATCATCCTCTAGGTCCAGGAAGTGATATCATTACATATTATTTTTGTCAGCTAACTCTCAATTCTTTGAGCAATTGACAACTTTAGTTATTTTCTTCCTGTGAAGCTCTAATTTTTAACTAAAATACAGCACAAGCATATTATTATTATTATTATTATTATTATTAAGTTAATAATTAGCCCAAAAGGTACTGCATAACAGGAATGACCCTTTTAATTTTGAGTTATTCATAGTCTAATGAACGGTTAATACAAAAGCAGTTCTGCTATTTAAACTGTGATACTGTTTAAAATGTTCAAGACAGTAATTATGGGTAAACATATTTCCCCCGTGCCCCTAATATCTCTTTCTATCCTATCTACAATTTCAAAAATAAAAAAATAAAAATAAAAAAAGACATCATCCTCTAGGTCCAGGAAGTGATATCATTACATATTATTTTTGTCAGCTAACTCTCAATTCTTTGAGCAATTGACAACTTTAGTTATTTTCTTCCTGTGAAGCTCTAATTTTTAACTAAAATACAGCACAAGCATATTATTATTATTATTATTATTATTAAGTTAATAATTAGCCCAAAAGGTACTGCATAACAGGAATGACCCTTTTAATTTTGAGTTATTCATAGTCTAATGAACGGTTAATACAAAAGCAGTTCTGCTATTTAAACTGTGATACTGTTTAAAATGTTCAAGACAGTAATTATGGGTAATATGATATAAATACTTATGTCATGTTGTAGTGTAGGAGCATACATTTCAGGAATAGCATTTTCTGATAAAAAAAAAAAAAAAAAACATAAAAATAAAATTCCCTGAATTCACTGAAAAGGCCATGGAGAAATTAAAAGAGAAATATATTCTGAAAACCTGCAGAAAAAGTAGGCGGTCAGTTCTTAAATTGAACAGAAGTACTACTGTAAAAGTCTTTGTGTGAATGGTGTTAAAACCTTTGAAGAGATGCGAGCGTTCTCCAGCAGCACTCTGGTCCACACCGCCGGGTGACGAGCCACAAACTTCCAATCCCGGCACACCTCGGCCGCCTGCAGGAGTGTCTTCATATCCAGGTAGGTAAAGATACAGAAGAGAGCGGCACGTATCTTCAGCACCTCAGGACTGATCACCTCGTTTACTTTAGACGGGCTTTTCTCGTGGCGACAAGGCTTGTATCCCCGTTCAGAACGACCTGCCGACACGGAGAATAAGAGCTAAAGGAAGACTTGCTTGACAGCTGTGGTCACCATTTAGTTTTCCTGCATGTAAAAGAGAAGACCTTTAGCACACTGAACTCCACATCGAACATGGGTGAGTTAATTTTTGCGTGAATTAATCTTATTTGACTGGCTGCATTACCACACATGTCCATATGGTGGCGCCTCAGTCAAATAAAAAGGATAGCTATCAGTCTGTTTGCTCTTCTCACTGCCTCCTACAGGTTCTGAACATCCTCCAAATCATGCAATCAGCAGGCCATTTCTATCTCACAGCTCCAGTTTGACAGACTCTAGGTTTACTTGAGTCATACACGATTTGCTGAAGATCTAACGAGACTGAGACTAAAGAAACAGGTGTTGTTCTTGTTTTATAAGATGTACAATTTTTAGGCAAAATCTGCCAGAAGTTATGACTCAAACAGGACAGGAGGGATTGTGTATGGCTAAGTTATGGCTATGGTAAGGAAAGTAGGCCTTCACCTGGACATGGGCATTATGTTTATGCATTCAGTTACATTCAAAATCTAGCTGGATAAACTAGCCATGACTGCTGGTCTAGGATCAGTTTCTCCTACCCAAAACCAAACATTAACTAATAGCGGGATGAAAAAAGATGACTCTGGATCAGTGGATGCAGGCAACATCATCCCACATTGTTTGCCCTGCTGGTAAAATGGTCTTGATTTCTGAAATTATTTTTAAAAATGTAAGTTTAATTACCATTAATTAATAATAAAAATACCAGAATATTAATTATTGTTACATAAAAATACACAGTTTTACTTGTGGAATAAAAAGTGCTAAATTATATCAGTATAACAAATTTAGTTTATTCATATCAGTACAAATATTTTATAAAATAATCGATTAAATAATAAAAAAATATATAAAATAAAAAAAATACATTCATATCTGCATTTAAACGCTAAACAAGTATGCACTTAAGTGGATGCAGGCAACCTCAATGTTTGCTGCAAAAAAAAATGCCTTCATTTCTTGATTTACACAATTTTAGATTTGTAAATCATTTCTTCATTTACGCAATTTTAGATTTAATTAATTAATAAAAATAAAAGAATAAAAAAGGTCATGATAATACTTATTTAATTAATGCTCACCAATAATTATTTATTATTTAATATTAATTAATTAATTTGTGAAATAAAAATGATTAAATTATGTTTGTACTAAAAATGAATGAGTTCATCCAAATATGTAAAAATAAACTACAAATAAAAATGTGCAAAAATAATAATAAATAATAACACTAATAAAATAATAAGAAATACATAAAATAATAATCAAAAAATATTTTATTTTTGCATTCACATCTGCTAGAAACAAGTCTGCACTTAAATAAATGCACAGAATACATCCCTTGTTCTCTCCAATGGATTTTATACCAACTTCCAAATACTTTTTGAGGTTGACACTTTGACATTGTTTGACATGGAAGGCATATGTATCATTCAAATATAATTTCCATGCTGGCTTCTGTAATGTTACGAAAAAAATCATGCATTTATTTTGTTAATTCCCTTTAACTTTTTTCAATAAGATGTGAGCAGGCCTACTGCTGCCACCTACAAAGGTTGGTAACATTTTCTGCCACATAATCTGACAGCCGAACAATGGAGAGTTGACAATCTACAGAACAAAAAAACAGTACAAATGAGCCTTAATCAATGTAAATGAAATACATGCAGTCAAGATATCATGGCCTTAAGTCACACTTTGTATATGGTATGATTATGTATGAGAGCATAGAGTAGACTATTGGTTACTCATTTCGCTCTTCCCACAATGACCTGGAGTCAGTAGGTGGAAAATTGTGCTCATTGGTTTATGACACACGCTCTCTACTGCTCTCTGGCCTATGATCCTGACAGCAGTTGCATTCATGTGACCTAATATTCCTCAGCTGGCGTCCTGGTCCTCTGACCCGACTATACCGTCATTATCTGGAGAGTGGGTACTGTGGCCTCTGGCGTGACAAACTGGTCAACAAACTGTTAACACACAAACTTACATACTGCAAAATGACATTTGAAACCAGAGCAGCATTTGCTACAGACCTGCTCTTTTCTGCCTGCCCCAGATTATGTTTTAAATTACTGACAAGCCAAAAATGGCATTTACATTCACGCCTTTGGAATTGTGTTCCCTGGGAAATGAACCATGTTCTTCCACGAACATTTAGAAATACAAAATAAACCCAAGGACAAATTCTTCGCTCATTCTGCCCACGCAAGTCAATGACGCACCTGTAGCTAGTCTGTATCCTCCACGCTTCTCCCCATGCTGGCTTTCTGCTCTCCTGTCTTGCTCCCACATCTCGGCCTCGGACTCAGTGGTGCGGGATCCTACGTCAGACACGTCGCCCTCCTCTCCCTCTGTGCTATTCCGATATGGCCGGCGCTGCCAGTTCTGGATGGCCTGTTTGCGGAGACCCCAGCTGCAAGAAGCAGCCGCCCTTTCATATCCTCCTCCTCCGCCTCCTTCCCCAAGTCGGCACTGGACGTGGTAGTACTGAGCATCAGGGCAGTCCTCCAGAGCGTGGAGGTCCACACTGTCACTGTCGTAACCTCCTGAACCCTGAGACACAGACTTCCCTTGTCCTGATGCACTGAGCACATAGGGAAGCATGGAGAAAAACACAGGGGCAATATTGTGGTTAATTTGCAGTAATTTATTAAAGGAATTACTGGACATCTATTGCCGTCATTGTTTAACAAGCAAATAATCATTCAAATAAAATACTGCAAAATGCATTAATATTACCATGAAATGTAGGCTCAACAATATGCAAAATTATTCACACTGCATAGGCTGAAAAGGAAAAAGATACTAAATGTATCTAAATTCGTAATCTTATTTCCATATATATATTTTTTAATAATTCAAATAATTCACCAGATTTTTCTTTTACGTAGTGTCTATTTAAACTTAGTGCAAATAGCCCGCCTTGTTGGCAGAGGCTATTTACACTAACTCCGCCCACCAACGTGTGATTGGGCTAGTCAACATTATAAAAAATAGCTGTGATTCTTTAGCTCCAGTTGCACAGATGGTAAACCGCGTTACGTGGTCTTTTTGTCGCAATCGACCCGAGTTCGAACCCGCCTTTTGCCGAACTTTTTTTCCCCCCCTTTTCAAATCTCGTATATCACACCGTTAAGGCATTTATTTTCAATAAAAATTAAGGAAATAATCAAAAAGTTGAAAATAAAGTATCGGGTAGGGTTAGGGTAGGTGTAGGGAGGGCTTTACTGTACCAATAAGGTGGCATCCATTTAATAATTTGAATTAAAATTATAATTTACACTCAATACGTTATTATTGCATACTGTTTTATAAGGTACTACAATACTGAAGTGCAGATAATTGCCACTATTTGCAACAAGTAGTATAAATAGCAGAAAACCCTGCTATTTTAACAGTGTAAATAATCTATGACTATTTGCACTTAGTTGAAATAGCGATAGAGGCTATTTACACTAAGTGCAAATAGCGGCTGCCTTTTTTAAATGTAGTCTGGAGCTTTTTATTTACCTTTCAATTAGCAATGTTGCCCTAGCAACTAATTGAAATACTAAAATTGAAATACTAATACTAAAAAGATGAAGTACTAAAACTAGTAAAACTAAAACTGAAATCTTTAAAACTGAACACTTTATACAGTAGCCACAATGTATGTCATAACTGCCCAGACCCAATGAATGCTATGATAGAATATATATAAAACTAAAATAATGTATGTAACAAGTTGGCATAGCAATTGCCTGATTTGTCTAGTTTCTACTAACTGCCTATTTTTATGCTTATTTATTTTGCTATTCTAATTACGCACAATTATACGAGTAGTTGCATTTTCTTATTTGCATTCCATGAGCCTATCGGAACAGACTCACTACCCATTTTCTGGGTCAAGAACCACCAGTTGAAAACAACAGCTTTAGGATACAGGGTTTGTGTAAAAAGAAGTGTGTAAGAACAGAGAGTTAACCAGGAAATACGATCAGATCTGTCTAGACAGACTTCCTATAATACACACAAACACACACCCACTAATTCAGAAATAAGAGACTCTGCTAGCTCACTTTGTAGGAGGAAAGATTGATAACTTGCAAAGATTAATCTTGCAAATATTATTGTTAAGCCTGAATGAGTAATGGGTTATTTCCTTAATTGCACATAAGAGAGTGGCTCTTGTTTTCAATCAAAACACTGCTCAGAAGATTCTTCTTACTACTGAGCTCAGAGTACACAGCACTAAACCAAAACTTTTAGGAGTGCCATGCACTTTTTATTATGCACTAGTGTCAGTCCTGACTCAGAAGTCCTGACTTTAAGTACTCAGTAGCTCTATGTATTTAATAAACGAGTCTAGGTTACAATGGTTGTCAAATCAAATGCAACTATATGTAACCAATATATATGTTATTTATGTTAATTTAGCAGCTGGTAATCAGCATACAACTATAGTACTGTATATAGAAAAGAGCAGACTTGACATTTTCACATCAGTTTAAAGCAATTGATCTGAGGAAGCTCTGACACAATTGGACGAACTAAATTTAGACATGTGAATGCATTATTCCTGATTCCTTTGTATCTTCAATAATTATGTAACTTAATTTTCAAAGACTCAAATAGTTGCATCCAAAATCTACATGGCTCAAAAATCTCATGGGCATCAGTTTAAATGGGTAAGATACTTCTGAACTCTTCCACTATGCAAGACCTTTCGTTAACCATTACAAGTGAAACCATTCAACTCAATGGCAACAGTTAGGGCATTTGCATGGGATTATGGATAAGGAATGTTCTCCTCCAAGGCTTAGCAGGGAGCGAATTTCCACTGGGGATTCCAGCCAGACATTTAGTCACTCTCCAGATGTTACAGCACTGAGACTTAAAGAGGTACTGTGCTACTGCAGTCACTAGTCACTGTAGGCTCTGCTGTAGGCAACCGACTACAATGACAGACTTTTCTATTTCACTGTGGGCTGAAGAGCAAACGACCCACTAGAGATGAAGCTGGGACACATTATCATTTCTTACACAGTAGGAATGTGTAATGCATGGCTGGCTATGGCAGAGATATCAAAAGCCATTTGTAAGATAACACGCAATGACTAAAAAGAACTTGTATGAAAATTTTCATGCAAACTGACAGTAAAAAATTTAGAACTTTGAGGATAAGTCTGGTTTCTTTATAGTATTATAGAGCTTTCTTAATGTTTCAACACAACTTACATGTAAGAACTATCTATTTGTAATATTCATTTGAAGCTAAAGATAGAGATAGGAAGCAATGGCTAAAGACATCTGTCTCTTAAGTTAAGTCGTATAAGTGCACAATAAGGCTGTATGCCTCATGACAACTCTCTGAGAGTTTAGCACAGTAATATGCATGGCAATGTTAATGTGTTTGGTCTTGGAGGAATAGATCTGCTACGCTGCTGCTGCTGTGGCAGAGCAAGTACCGAGATTTTCTACTGCCACATCCACAGACTGCTGCTGTGAGCATGTAGGTAATGCTGCTGCTGCACATATAACATATATGAAATAACCCCCATATATAACATGCATGAAATTACCCCGTAGCAGATCTATACAGGTGGAGCTGGGGAAGGTGGAGGGTTTCTGAAGCACGATGCAACCGCTACAGCAAGTAGCGAGAATTTGAATGTTGAGCAGCAAGCTGCTGATACGAAAAGAAACCAATCAGCTGCGCCATATGATTAATGATGCCATTATGTCAGATTGAGTAAGAACCTGTCAGCCTGTGCCGATAGTTTCATAGTTTAATTCGACAGAACTTTAGATTAAAGCAGTATTGTGAAATGTTATTACAATTTAAAATATCTGTGTTCTATTTTAATATATTTTAAAATGTAATTTATTCCTGTGATGGCAAAGATGAATTTTCAAATGCCATTACTCAAGATTTCAGTGTCACAAGATCCTTCAAAAAATCATTTTAATTTGCTAATCTGCTGCTCAATAAAAAAAATGTGTTCTTATTATCAATGTTGAAAACAGCTGTCCACAATTTTTGTGAAAACAGTGATACATTTTTTTTCAGAATTCTTTGATGAACAGAAAGTTCAAAAGAATAGCATTTATTTGAAACAAAAAACTTTTGTAACATTATAAATGTTTTTACTGTAACTTTTGATCAATTTATTGCAATTCTTGCCAAATAAAAGTGTTAATTTCATATTGTCCCCACATTTTTAACAGTATTATACATGCCACTTCTTTATTTCATGTCTTAATAATTGATGGATGATGGTGGTTATGTCATAATAAAGGAACAGCAGTGGTCATATGCGGTCTGGTATTTCAAGCCTCTCTCTCATCTGATTCATGAGGAAGACCTGTGGAGTCTGTGATGTCAATTTAGGGACAGCAGACTCCAGGCAAACCCACGCTGCTCCTTCCTTCCCTCAGAGCACCAAATGGTTTGATACGGCCCATGCGCAGATGCACACACACAACAGATGGATGGTGATGTCTCATTCACAGATCAGAACCTTGTTAAAAGAGCTGCCACAGAAAGGTTATGGTGTGTTAGGTGAAATCGCATAAGAAGATGAAGATCTAAAAATAAAAACCAGTGTAATTTGTTTATGATGTGAACTAGTCATGTTCAAAGTCAGATGGTGACTGGTTGAAACAATTTCACTAGAATAACATTTAATCTTAAAAATAGTGCGGTTCATAATATGTCCAATTTGTCTGCATTTGTATGTGCCCAGTTATAGCCTCATTAAACAGCATTTATAAAACAATTTTATAACCCTAACCTCACACACACACACACACACA